GTAATGGATGAATTGACGGAGATGGAAATTTTATTGGAGCATGCAAAAAAAATATTTACAGAATTGTTGTAAAATTGATCTCTTAAAATATATTACAGTATTATAAACTATATAAAAAGATCTATTTTCTTATTTGGGATGGATGTGAAAATCGTATAACTATGGATGGTCTCTCTTGTAGGTCGTGATGCCAATTTAAAGGAAAGCAACGAATACGCAGAGCACCCTAAGTGTACTTACATCAAATACTAGCAAGAGCGGAATTTATTTTTTCCTGATATATCAGCAACCACATAACATATACTAGTTTGATTTGTCAGGTTTCAATTCCTATCACTCTCATCATATAAGAGGCGGTCAATTCCGATGCGTGTTACAGATTTATTATAGGGTAATAGTCAAATTATTGGATGATTATCATGACTGTACCGCGATTCAACCACGATGGGTTGTTTTTCATATAATTATATAAGAAAAATTCTACCACAATTCAACTGATTCCATTAATCACATCAGAATAGCCCATTGTGGGAGGAGTACATTGCACGTGACATCAATCGTCAACGTAAAAATTAGGTTTGTAACCTTTATATACTCGGTGACTGCGCACGAAGAGTACTTTGTACCTAGAATCTTGTGCCAAGCATTTTTACTTAGAGTTATTTACGATTTTCGATTTGTTTTGAATTTTAGCGTTACACTTGATCTTGTTATTGGATTGGTCGATTACATGTGACACTATATTTTATTGGTCGAAGGCACGTGATATGTACTCCGCTTTAGCCCACCCCTTTTTATTCATTGTAAAAATCACATGATGTATCTCGATTTTTATTGGCAGATTGATCTTGAAATATTATCACATAATTGTCGGGGTGCACCTAAAATTATATCACGTGATAACATAATACCCAGTGATCCCCTATAACGTTCCCCCCTGAAATCGATAATCATTACTCTTCCCCTGTTCTACGAAAAATTTTTCTTCAACGACAAAAATGTCCAGAATGACGAGATTTCCTTACTTTGCAAGCAACGATGATTGGAATTTAGCTAGCTTTCTTCAATGGAGTATGGTATACGCCCAAGATTTTGGAAATAAAGACGAAGAGCATCGTGTCTATAAGACACATTTACAAGCAATTTATAATGACCCAAACCTACTGGAGCCCTGCGACAGTAAAAAAATTCAAAATTTGGCAACACAGGCATTGGGTAAATTTAAGGTTCGAAAATTTATTTAGTAGTGGAAGCATCACGAAGGCCAAAAAGTGCTAGGATACGTCTGAAAGCCCAACGGATACGTCTGGCGGGTTGCACTTTGATACATTTGGATACGTCTAAAGAGTATCAGGCACAACTTCGAAATTATCTTTACTACTGACTTTACCCAAAAAGTGCTAGGATACGTCTGAAAGCCCAACGGATACGTCTGGCGGGTTGCACTTTGATATGTTGGATACGTCTGAACATTATCAGGGATTTTTCTTTTTCATTCATTTAGGAAGAAGCGAATTCGGATATAGTCACTAACCTTTGGAGCAATAGTTCGTCTTTCCTAAAAATGTTGAGAACAGCCGTTGATCTCAATACAAACAAGATTCTTTATCGAGTGTCTGATTTACATGATGATGTCAGCGAGACAATCTTTAACGCCACTAAAGATAAATTATGTTTTGGTAACACATTTAAATTTTCATATATTTTGTATTCATATAATTCTTTTTATTTAACTGTGAATAATAATATGTATTGGCAATACTGTTAGAACGTAAGCGATCTCGCTTTTATGAAGAAAAGTCGCAGGAGTCGCCACCAAAAAGGACAAAAGCTAACAACGGTAGTGGTATTACGCAATATAACTTGATTTTTTATTCACAGTATTTTTTTCTATCGTTCGGATGTACGCAGGAAAAAACTAGTGATAATTGGAAAGACACCAATGCCGGGGCAATTGATGCAGAAGAAATTTCTGATTCAGACGACACTGATGCTGAACCGAATGATACAGAAATTGAGAACCTCAATCAAGTACTGTGGCATTTGCTACCCTTTATGTATAGCTTTGCTTCACCTGTATATGAAAAATAAACTAATCTCTGTCCAACATTCTAGGAAGTAAATAATTTGAATGACACTGAGGTGTCCATTCGAAATACTTTACTTGATGTTCTCAACCAACGTAAATCTAAGGATTTAGAATCGGAAAAAACCTTCATGAATTCAACATTCCTTAACGGAATAATTGATTTAACAGATGCAGATATGAAGCGACAAATAAAGCTTGGAAGCCAACACCCGAGTTCGAGGAGTATTGTGACCAGTTCACACGTGATGTATGCAATCGTGTCCAAGTCCCTAATTCGGTCCGAAAGTCCTTCGTTAAAGGGCGGTTTGATCCCTTCTTTGACGAAGGGCATGATATCGCGCAAGATATAATGAAACATTTGTATGTATTTTTGCTTTATTTGAGGCCAAATTCTCCGAAAGGTTACTGATATCGATTGTCAATAGCTCGTTACGTTTGGAAGCCCCAAACAATATAGAGTCAAACGCATTGGATCTGGAAAGGACATTTGCCATCGATACAATTGTATACATCGTTAATAGACTCTTCAAAATGCATCAAGATGAAGTGGATTTAGTTTGGTAAATGTCAATTGCGCGTTCAATACTCGAATTATATTGTTAATTACCCTATACTCAATTCAGGATCGAAATTCTCACTCCCGATACAAGTAAACGCAAGATCGATGGAGTCATGAGGGCTCTTCTGACGAAGCAAACTCATCAGATACTGGCGTTATTTGAGTTTTCCTTCGGTAGAAAGGCCCCTATGTCCAAAGATTATGAAGATAGAGTGAAGTTGAGTCGCAACGCCATGAGAACCTTAAACAAATGCTCAAAAAAACGCCTTGTAACAAGGCACGGGTGTACACAATTCAAAGCGTGAGTGAGTATTGGCATCGCATTAACATATACTTGGTAAAAAAAAGTTTTTATTTATATAATATTTCTGTAAGATGGACAGATGTACATACGATACATGGTTCGACCTCTCCCATCAATATACCTGTACGAGGAGTTCGCATGTATCAGATACCCCAAGAATTTCAGCCAAATGGAACGGTTCGCTAGAGACATAACGGCGCTCATGAATTTTCAGGTAATGGTTTGATAATGAATACCATTAGGCTCATAGACGCATTTGCATGATACTAACGTTGCCTGGCTTTCATTATTACAGAGCGATGTCTTGAACACGGTCAAAGAAAACAACTGTTTTATTGACACGATTGAAAACAGCTATATCTGCACAGTTTCAGTGCAAGAGACACCAAAAAAGAAAAACAAAGGGAAGAAGGAAACTGGTTCTCCGCCATCTTCATATCCCGAATCTCCATGTGACCGACTTGAGGGAGCTAGAGAAACGTCTTGAGGCTACAATCCGAAGGTTTTTTCGTATTAGCGATAAAATTCAACGGATGACATATATCCAACGAATAAAAACATCTACCGCACCATCGATTTCAAATTCACGTTCGGAAAATATCAAATATGTAGCATTTCAGGTTAAGAAGAATACTGGACAAACTTAATTCCGGGTAAAATGTAGCGATCACATGATCATTATGTAACTCGACCGTGACTGCTCACTTTTTTTATGTGTCTTTAAGCAAAAATTAATAAAGTAACGTGAAAGCATGCCGTATATTGTTGTTTAACCATGTACACATGTGAAAATAAAGTATCATCATGTTATATGCCGAAAATCACGTCTTGGATAATCATATGCATGATGCTTGTAATACGCCCGAAATAAATCCCACACGCCCGAAATAGATCCCATATGCCCGAATGTAGATCCACATGTCAAAAATAGATCCACATGTTTACAATAGATTTTTTTTTCGTTTCACAGTGATTCATATACCCAATTAATTATTGTTAATATGGTGCCGGAAATCTATAATCGCCAATCACGTGAATTGTTTCAATTTTTCGCATAATTGCGATTGACCAATAATATTGCAATGATTAAATAATATTTTCAAAGTTATAAATACTAATTATTTCTCATCTAAATTCATTTCTCTTTCAATATTTTCAGGCAAATGATAATGAGACTTATACTTGCTAATGAATAAATTTGTGAATTATTATCATAAGGACATTAACAAGAGTCTCTGGAACTTACTATAATAAGTTAGCATAATTATAGTTACATATTTTTCTTATCTCTTATTTCATGTAACTTTAGTATCTCTCTATAAAATTATATTCATAATGAAACTTGAAATAACATTCAAAAATATATCCTGCTTCAGTAACTGTCTCCTTAATTATTGATAGTTTTTCACAAAAATCAGATTGCTGTGACATGATTCATTATGTACAGCAATTTGAAATTTCTGAATTATCATTATTTTTTTTAAGTATTATTCACATACTAAATAAATTTTTTTTACTAGTCATAGGTTACACTCTTTAAGTATTCATTTGATTTCTTTTGATTATTTTCTTAGTCTTACCATTAGGTAATTATCTGAAAATATTATTAATTGATCATATTTCTTTTCATGTTTATTAATGTACTATCTATTATGTATTTTAGATTATTCTTCTCCAGAACTCAGATTTATTCTTGTCATAATCAATGTATCTGTTATCATAATATTATAATTTATTGATTGATTAAAATAAAAAATACAAATGTATTTAGGATGTAATATCTCAAAGATCAGAATTGCTCTTTACATAAGTTAATCTAATATATGTTCTGATTTTTAGTATCTATCTGATTATATAGAACAAAGAATGAATATCTCCTTCATTAGGAAATTTTTTGTGAAGATATTTATTAAGAATCATAACTATATCTGTAAAAATCAATAAATATTTTTCTAAAATATCAATATTAATTAATAATTCTAATGATCTTTAATAAATATCTATATCAATAATAATCAATCATTATTAATATATTATTTATCAATATATAATAATATATCAATTATTATCATAATATATTATTTATTGATAACA